GATAAGCATGAGAATTATTTGCTTTTACCAGGATCAGATTATCAATATGGTCAAAATGAACAACAAAAAGTTTGACTGAACATCTTTTAGGAGCATTCCTATTTCTGTCACACATCGATAACCATGATACAGGATAATGCCAAAGTTCTCATAATTCTGCTCCAGATAATGACTTGTGCAAGAATGAAAAGTCTGTACATCTCCAAGGCCTCTCCTAAAAATATAGTTACAGAATGTACTACACCCCTTCATTTGCTGTCACAGTAATTCAGAAAACAATTAGAGTACTTCTAAAAAGAGTTACAGTTACAAGTCCACAATTATATGATACTTGAAAGCAATCAGTGCACTAGGTTAACCATTTAAGATTTACAAGGCATCTGCCAGTCTAGATGAAAATGAAGTTATTTTCACAGTTAGAATCAATACCAGATAAGGAATTATTTCAAAGAGAAGAAAAAAATTATTACATTAATAAACATTTTTTCAGTGTGTTTCAGAAATAAGTGTAAGTTAGTGTGGGTATATAGAAAAAGCTGCTTGCACCCTCATTTAAACAGAAGATGCAACAAATGAAAAAGCATGTTTATAATGACAAGGTATGCTGGTGCTACACAGTGTAGAGTTTTATTTGGTACAGTAACAACCCACAGAGGCAGTATGAATATACTGCCTTGTGTTCTGCATAATAAAATTAAAAGCATAAAATACAAAGTCCTAAAAACAAAGCCACATCTGTCAGCACCACAACTGCACAGAAGAGATAACACACACATAGGTCTTCAGGGATAACATATAGACTAGAGAACTCTAATTTTCCTACTGTCTTAGAAATTCCTAAACTGAGACAACCATGAAGGGAGAAGAAAAGTATTTCACTAAGTATTAAGCAGAAAGGAACATAAATCCTTTAAAAGAAAAATACACATGGAAAAACAACAATCCTGAAGGGTCAAGCCAACAACAGCATCTAAGTTAGCATACAAGAGAGTCACCAAAATAAGCATCAGCATATTTAACACTAGTAAATGAGCATTTAATCTAATGAAGTCAAGAGTAGCCATTCATCTCATTAAAGGTTATAAAATTTTAGAATTATATATAAAGATATACAGTGATACTAGTCACAAGAAATATTTACAGCAATGAAGGCAGTGTTCCACACATCAGCTGTCCCTAACCAAATAGCACCGATCAACCAAAAAGAAAGTGAGACCAAACTGCCACAACCTAGCAATCAAGTCCATAGAAATAAATACATCTTTCACACTCATTTAACCAGTTATATTTTAGCACAAAGGAACTATAATCAATAACAAACAAAAAATAAGGTAGCAGAAGCCTCCAAAGTTTAACAAAGCTACAAAAAATAAGTAGCATAAAGCAGAGCAGTCCAGTTTCAAACAGATGAAGTTTAACAGCAAAAAAGAAAATCACCAAAACACACACAGAAAATCCACACCACAGAAATACTTGCTTATATTTATTTCCAAAGGAAATAAGAAAAAAATAACAAAAACTTACTGCAACAGTGAAAGATACCAATGCGGGGGGGGGGGGGGGGGGGGGGGGGCGGGCTTTAGAAGCAAAACAGTTTTACCAGCTTCATTGTAAAAAATGTCTTCATTATATCTAGTTTAAATCTACCCTCTTTTAGTTTAAAACCATTACCCCTTGTCCTATCACAACAGGCCCTGCTAAGAAGTTTGTTCCCATCATTCTCATAAGTCCCCTTTAAGTGCTGCAAGGCTGCTATAAGGTCTCCCGGAAGCCTTCTCTTCTCCAGGCTGAAAAAACACCAACTCACCCAGCCTGTCCTCGTAAGGGAGATTCTCCAGCCCTCTGATCATTAGTCATGATGTCACTCATGATCTCTGACCTGATACCTTTAGACTACTTAACTAAAAAGCAGATTTTAACATTTAAAAGTCACACAGTATTGACATCAAAAACATGCCTAGAGCAAAGCCAATTCAGGCACCAGTTACATGTATTTACTCATGGCCAGTAGTGATTACCTGTCACTTATGCAACTGATGACAAATAGAAAGGAAAACTGACTTACCTGTGAGATGTAAGTATCATTTAAATGAGAAAAGGAAGAGGCTCTATTAAACTACTTAAGAGGCACTTATGATTTCTTACCATCAGAGTTCAAGAGCAAATCATACCTATGATGTACAACAACAAACAACCTTTGTATATCAACTCATAAGCTTCTACCTGCACTTATTCCAGACTGGATCTTTGGAGTCAACATGGACTGCTAGATCACAGAATCTCCTATTTCATCTTTACCACCACAGTTACAAGGTGTAAAATCCTTTCAAATGTAACCTCTTAGTAATGGACTCTGCAGCTCTTACCTTTCCTCAAGTAGATCCTCACGATTCTACTGATCTGAGACTGGACTATGTATGCCACTAGCAGGTCTTCTCCCTTAGTGTCTAAATGATATTCCCCATTTGCATGTACTTTCCAAATCTACATTATCCAGGAAAATCATATGAGCTTTCAAGTCTCTTTGAAAGCCTTCTAAATTCAAGCCATAACTAGAACACAAAAAGCATGCCAGCAGTACAAGCCTCAATGGCATACTGCACATGTAGAATGCATACTAGTATTTGCCCTTCTGCAATGACGTTTAAGTCACTCAATAAAATTCATCAGTAATATATTATAAAAAATTTCTGCATCCTACAAAAAAGTACCACAAAAAAACCCTTGAAATCTGAAGCTACCTGTTTGCTAAACATCAATTTTTCACCAGCTTCCTGTCTTTAAGAAAAAGGCACTCCAGAATCCCTCATGTTGCCAATTCTCTGCTAGACTGTGAACAGCAATAAAAGTCAGAATGCTGAATTTGTTTGCAAAGAAGCAGAAGCGCTCCCTCTCCCAGAAAAAAAGCATTCTCTTGTTCCCTAATGTGCCCTGTATTTGAAAGGGCAAGTCACTGTCCCCAAAGGACTCAATACAAACAAGTGCAAATGAACAAAAGTTCACAACAGTCAGGTGACTGCTAATTCAGCAAACAAATCAGAATTGCGACAGTTGCCTGTCCATTCCTATTTTATAGGCTTACTATGCCAGGTAGCTTTGAAGATATTAGAAAGAAAACCTTGCACTAACAAAAAATAACATCCTGACAATGAAGTTCTACAAATGGCAGCAAGTAGCAACAGTTTGGCAAATATTTTCTCAGTGCCACCAGATCCTATGCACTTCTGTGTATACGCTTCTTTAAAAAATAAATAAATAAAAATCTTGTAGCTTGTACATGGAAGCCAGATATTGAATAAATAATAGCTGGAGGAAGTAAAAAATTTTCACTTCCATCTTGACTGACATTTATCCTGTCTTTATTTGAAGGTTTCCTTTTACTGCCTTAACTTCTCATGTAATCTGACTCCCACCCTATTTTCAAAGTAAAATCACAACTTCCAACAAGACCTAACATAAAAGTTGGTAACATTACTTTCTGTAATTACCAACACAATTGCTTCCTCCTTTCAAATTATATTGAAAATGTAGCTTATGGTGGTATCCCTAGCATTTATCCTGGAAAGCTGTATTGTAAGAGAATTACAAGCTCTCTCACAGAGATGATACAACAGGACACCTGCCATCACAGACATTAAGTAACTTATCTGCCGATGGACTCTGATCTGTTAGGTATTTCTCATGCTTTATAGCACAGTAATAAGGAAAAGCAGCACCTACTTAAGTGGTAATAAATATAATTATTTGATAAGGCCTGTTTTCCAGCAACTGCCAGAGGTCTATTACTTATAATTTATGCTAACAGTTATTTCTGTCCACTTGTACTTGCTTGTTGCTTCTCCTGTATTTGTTCTATGCATATTATCTTCCTCTTGCAATGATTATCTTTTTTCCTGACTTCTGAATATTCACTCTGGTAACTGAGTTCTAAAGTGGAAGTTCAGTCAAGTGAGTGGAACAAAGAAAGCAGTAGTTTTCCCTCTATGCATGTAGCCCTGCACAGCAAGTAGCTGTTAAATCTAGCCAGATTAGGTGGCATGACAGAATCAAGCAGGCTTTTTTTAGTAACCATTTGTCACATTACCTCTAGAATCAGCATTACATCTGTAAAAAACCTATGCCTGAAGGCTGATCTGTAGCTTTCCAAACCCACCCAGTCTATTTTCTCCACTGTGCATCCCCTGCAGGGAATGCATACCTCCCACATTGTCAAAAGCTGATGTGGCTGACAGGAAAGCCTATGGGATAGCAAACACAGCTTCAAAGTTTTCTATTAAGAAAGCTTTCAGTTGCTCTCTGCTCATTCTTCTTGAAAGATATCCCCTTAGGCCACTGTAGTTCTACTGCTAAAGATTTAGCTGATGATTCCACAAGAGAAATGGAAATTTTATCTGTTATATAATGATATACTGTATAAAAAAAATTACAGTAACAGTTAAAATGACATCCCCCACTCAGGTTTTCCTCCAACTTTCCTTTGAGAGCACGTACAACCGATGCACCAGACTCATCCTCTTTCATCTGCTGTGTTTAGTTCCTTCTTCCTCTACAGGAATTGCTTCTCTGAATACACATAATACCACAGAGAGAGTACTATTCTGAGTTTGTCTCTGTTTAAAAAGATGTAAACTAAAGACTATGATGAAGTCATCCTAAAAAACATTCTTTGCTTCAATCCTAAAGAAAGGGGAGAGTGGGACTATCCTGCCTAAGTCATTCATGGGGCAGAACCATACTTCTGGGTGCAGTCTCTTTCAAGTAACAGGCAGGTACTTTGCAGGGTGCAGAAAGTTTGATATTTCTATATTCCATGTCTGCCTACATATATTATGCATTAATGGGTCCAGTCACATCACAGAGAGTGTCTGGCATACAACCTTTCCATTCACTATATGCAACAGCATAGCAAAGAGGCTGCGCACTAATTACCTAGGTTTTGTTGAAAAACACACAATCTATCTTACACAACAGTGTAACCCAGTCTACTTGAAAACACTTACTTTTGTTTTCTCTTGCTCAGAAGCCTCCAGGTTTAAGAAGTCATTTCAGTTGTAGAAAATACAGAGACAACCCCTTCAGTGCAAGAAGAGAGGACAGCAGCGTGTTCATTCCTTCAACTTTCAAACAACATTCAACTTTTGTGCTGTAGCTGGCCCCTGACAGGAATGGAACAGGTAGGAAGACATTGTTAGCACTGCCAGAATATTTCAATTGATGTTACTTTTTTAAAAACTTCAGAAAGGAAGCAAAACCCCAGAATAGATATTACTAAAAACATTCTGGAGAAAGGAAACACACAACACTAGTTCTTTTTATGTTTTATCTTGTGTCAGGAGGTTTGGCATCAAGTCGTTGTAATTGAGAAGAGCTTTCTCTTCTAAAACTTTAAGACACAGTTTTGAAACGTTTCTAATATGTAAATCTTACGCAGACATTTAACCATGCTTATGTTCCCCATACATATTTGGGCATCTTTCAGCAAATAGTTAAACCTTTCCTCTCTCATCCCTTCCCAAAGAATACTTCCATTTGTTTCCTTTCCCAAATACATTCAGGAATGACTTTCATGTGAAAGCTGCTATGTAACTTGGAAAAGTCAGAAGGAAAAGACCATGAAACAAAACTTGTTACCTGATTCAAGCTCTCAGAAAAATTAGTATGTTGCCTCCTTTAAAAGGGCACACACAATATTAAAGATTTACAGTTACTTCTTATTATACTAGTCTTGCATTCTAAATTAACTACTGTTAGTTAACACTGTAACTCTACATGTATCAGGATTATATTAACATTAGTCTGCTCAACCTCAACGATGCTACAAGTCCATCTCTTTGGCAAACGTGTCTTTTCAAAGTCTCCTTCCCACCAAGCATAGAACATTAAACAGTGCTAAAAGGGCAAATCTTGCATTTTATTGAAAACACCTCTATGTCCCATCTCTTGTGATGTTTGCCACAATGAAGCTACATTCAGCCCTAAAAGTTCTGTGTGTTAAGTCTTGTTGCACTTACCAGCTTTGTTAATAACTGTACAGTCTAACTTTTTTAACCATCAAAACCACAAATTAACATGAAAAAGAAAACTATAGCAGGAAAGAGGTTCTGGTTTTGCACAGTGCTAATCCTGTACCATGAGATATGTGCCCTTCAAATCTGGTTAATGATAAATAAATACATGACTATTAGCAAGCAATGAGCACAATACTGCCCCATAAGAGGTATTATGCAGCAGAGACAAGGTACTTTTTAAACATATATATGGTTTTGATTAGTACCTATCGTGACAAGTCAATCTACAGGTGCAAAACACCTAACATCTACATAATTTTAATGCTGAATTTGCCCATGTTGCTTTCTATAGTACCAAGAAAAATGGGGCCTTCTGTGAAAAGAAAAAAAGCTAATACCCTTCTTATGCTCTCAGTTACACGTGTATCTGAAAAAAACACCACAAAAACGAACAAACCAACCAAAAAACAGCAATCACACAAAGTAGCAATTATGCTTTTTGGCTGCCATAGTATGAAGACCAGCAAGCAGAAACATTCTAACCTCTTCAAGAGTCATTCCTTAGTTTAAAACAACTGAAAACGTTTGCTCTGAACTGGAAAGTTTTAGCTTTACAGGCGTGAACACTGGAAGAAGTCACATGCTTCAGAACAAAATTTAAGGCAGACAGAAATTAATACTACAGTGGCCTAAAAGTCTGAAAGAGAATCAACAGCACTCAGGATATTTTCATATGACAGGAGAGAATTCCTTTTTACAGGAAAGGTAAAAATTACAGTTCAAAGGTGTCTTTGCTAAGCCATGGCGCTGGGCTATGTGCCGCAGCAACGTCTCGCTTCCAGATTGATTCAGCACATCAGGGCGTGAGTCAGGAGAGGCCGGAGCCGAACAGCAACAAACAGCCCCAGCAGCCGAGCCCCACCGGCCGCAGGTGACTCCCGGCGCCGGGCAGGCAGCGCGGCCCGCCGGGGACGCGGGGCCCCCAAAGCGCTCGAGGAGGGGAGAAGTAAGGGGTCCCTCACAAAAGCCCCCAGCAGCCCTCAGACCGCACCGGGAGGCGAAGAGGCAAGCGGCGGGGGACGCGAAGTGCGCCGTGCCCTGAGGGAGGGGAGCTGGGCCGGAGGGAAGGCCCAGGCCGGCAGCAGACTCCCGCTGGTACGCCCCGGGACGGGAAGACAGGATCCCCGGCGAGGGGAGAGGCGGGGGCTGCGGGGACAGGGGCAGCCCCGCCGCACAGCCCCGGTCCCCACAGACACTCACCGCGACGCGGCCGCCGTTCCCCGCCGCGGGCCCGAGTGCGCCGCCGAGCGCTCCCCGCCCCGCGCGGGCCCACCTCGCCCGCTCACGTGACGCGCCGGCACCCGCTCCACCCCGCGGGGCGGCCCCCTGGTGCCTGCCGGGAGCTGTAGGCCGCCGGGCCCCAAGGGCCGCCGGGAGTTGTAGTCCCGGGGACCAGGGAGGGGAGGGGGCGGTAGCGGGAATCAGCCGCTGAGGCTGTGAGGGGGCCGGGCTGCGTCCCCCGGCAAGCAGGGCGTTCAGTGAAACAGCCGGGAAAAAGGGAGGGAAGGAAAGGAGAACACGGAACGTGCGTCCAGTGTACAGCAGAGCAAGTTGCCCCAAGTGGTCAGAGGCAGCCCCGCAGCCCAGGCCTTGTGGATGCTGCCTGACTACAAATCAAAACTGATAAGAAGGAAAAAGAATTAGTGATGCAGGTGCCAGGAGGATTATTCATGCAAGATTTGGGGAAAAAAAACCAAAACCAAAACAAACTACCTTTATAAAATGGTCCACTACCACCATACTGGGTACATCTGGAGGGCAAGGTGGTGATTGGGGAACCCCTTGCTGTCTGATGCTATGTGCTTGCAGGAAAATGACATTTGTGATATTATAAAACATTTTTTTTATATTATAAAACATATTTTTGAGTTACAAAACAACTCTGTCCAGCTTCTCTGGTGGTGTTGCCAGCCCTGACTTGGGTTGCCCTGTCAGTGGAGGGACAATGCCTCTCTCTGATCTTAGGACTAGATACCACAGAAGAACTGACCATAGAAAGAAAAATAATATAAAACAAAAGTAACCTTGGGCTTCTTCACGACCCCAGCCAATTAGGAGCTTCATAGCCAGTTTCACCCAGATCTCGCAGCTCCAGCAAGCGCCCACCTCACACCAGCGCAATACCAGTGCGAGCTGCTTTAGGAGGAAGATTGTCACCTGCCAGTTTGCAAGCGTCATACCAAACCATCACCACTGCTTTTTTGTATCTTCCTGAAAAAGTATTCTCCAGTTTAATGTTGCCAGTCATTTGTTGTCTATGAACAAATATTTGCACCATCTGAACAGCCAACTCTGAGCTAAAGGCACTTTGAGGTGAACCATGCATTTGTACCAGACAAGATGTAATTTCAGAAGGAGCCACAAGACAATCATTTAAAAATTTTTTTATTCATTACTTTTTGGATGTCTCCTTTACTATCAACAATTTACATCTGGAATGCCAAAAACTTTAGAAGATCAGAACTGAAAAAACACGAGGAAATTGGGCTGGTGCCTCTTATGATAGAAAAATTACTTCTGGAGTAAAAAATATTTTTCTATAATAAGCATGGAACTGTGTATTTTACATTAATAAGCAGCAGAAGCAAGCAGTGAGCAAAAGGAGATGAAATGTTAGTTCACCTCCCTCACACAGGCAAGCTTGTCTTTTGTCTTCTGGTACAATATGCCTTTGCTTCTGACATCATCCTTTCAATAAAGACTAGATAGAAAATTCACTGATGCAATTTTGAAGTCTTGCTCAGATTGATTCCATTGTGGTATTTCCAACCATAAATCATAAATCAATGTATTAGTTTTTATATATACATTTATATTTATAGGTATACATTTATTGTCTACATATATATTTGTGTATACACAGAGACAATCTTTCTTATTTGATCATTCATTGAAGATTTCATTCAGATCACATTTTAAAGCTTTTCTCTGACATCATGAGAACTAGAAAGATTTATATTTTTTTTGCCTTACTCATTTCTGACACCTCATGTCTCAGATCACTAAAAGTGCTCTTCACAAATGCTCTCATAAATTTCTTCCCATCAATTTTGTCCTAGATCTTTTCCAAACTGGCTTATGCCCCTTGCGTTTCTTTATAAAGACAAAGTCTCAAACAGCCTCTTGCTTGTGTGACCTTTAATGATTGCAGCTATTATTCCACCCTAATCTGTCAAGTAAAATACTATTCACCTTTGTTTGGTGACTGTCTTCTCCTTTTTTCCCTCCTACATTTCTAACCCATCTACTGGCACATTTCTGAGGAGCTTTTTCTTACATGCCTTCCAGCTTCCAGTAGATATTAACCAGGCCTTTCTCCTTGGATCACTCCTCTCGTCACTCTACATTTTATCCCCAGATAATGTGTACTACAACCACAGTTCAAACAACAATTTCCACTCAGATTTTTCACAGCTATGCCTCTTCACTGCAGATTGGCATGCTTTCCTAACTGAACTCTTGGCTTGTGTCTCTATTACCTTCTTATGACTGTTCAGTGGGACTTCCCCTTCTGCTGCACGCCATCACACATGCCCCGTGCGTCCCACACCTGCATGGTCAGATGCTTGAAGATGATGTGAACTGGAAGAAACGTGCTTTGAGTCAGCTGACTGATGATTCACCTGATGGCTATTTGGATCTGCAAGAGCATACGTTATTAAAGTTTTATGTGTGAGTGGGGTTCTGGGATGTTTAGGCTATCTCTGTATTTCTGAGCCTGGTCCTCATTCTTTTGTATTGCAGTATGTGGTGCCAGGGTCATTATCAGCCCAGACAGCACACAAATAAATACTGCAGCCTCCAATCCCTGGACCATCTGGATTAAAACTGGTTAATTGACAACCCTAATGTCGTTTTAAGCTCAGTACAGTTAAAATAGTGTTAAGTCTTCTTCCACAAGTACTCTCTACTTTATCTATTACATTATTATCTGCCTGTATATAATCATCTTTGACTCAGACCTTTTCCTAGCCCTTTATGTTCAAACTATGTCTAAATCTGACCATATAGCTAAAACTCCCATCTTCTCAAATCTCAATTACTGCAACATCCTTTCCTTTGGCCTTGGAAAATATAACCTTGTTTTGCTCATACTTATTGGGAACGTTGCTACAAAGACCATTTTTCTTAGTCTGCCATTTTCACCGTGTTATTCCTCTCTTTTCATCCCTATGCTGGCTCAGCCTACTCTATCATGTCAATCCTTACCTATGTGTCTTTACTTTGGAAGGCCTTGGTAGCCTGTCTTCACCTTACTTGCCATTTCCATTCACTGCTGAGATCTAACTGCAGCTTGAGTCAGCTCATGATGCCGATTTTCACAGCCCACTTGTAATACATTTAAACAGGTTCTTTTGTGCATTCAGTTGGCTGCCTTTTATTTCCAAGTGTCCTATGAACAGCCCAAAAGTTACTGAGAGTTTTTCTTCAAAACTCTTCTCAAAACTTTCCTGTAATGTTGACAGCACTGTGTCACATTTCTTTATGCTGCCTCTCCTGCCTGTATTCCTCAGTTCTCTCATTTCATACTCTCTAAAGCTCTCGGGGCAGCATCATCCTTTGTGTTGATTGTGATCCATAACAGGGTCTTGTAGCACGATGGTAATGCAAATAATAAATACACATGGAACTGAGATGCCAGGGAGAACCTAGACATTACAAGATTGATGACAACAAGATGCAATTTGGGAGCATAACCATACCTGATAATAATATTAGCTTGTTTTCCTACTATTGTGGAGAGTAGAGGAGCAAAACTAACTGGAGGTGGGGAGTCTACATCTTTAAACAAGTGCATGGGTCAAGTTAAAGATGTTCTATGTCCATCTACCTCACAACATTTTTTGCTCAGTTAAAGTTGCTGTTGTGACAGATAAAATGGAAAAGTCAGTGTAGTGTTAAACATATCATACATACGTAAGTATGTCTGCATTTTCACACATGTACATTTTTTTCATTTTATGAGTTAGATGTTAGAAAAGATATGGTATATCAGTGGTTCTTTTGCTTTTCTAGCACTGTGCCACTTACACCTTTTGTTTCCTGTTATTGTCCTTTGTTTGCTAATTTGATGTTTATTTTTGTCTCTGCTACATAAAGACTGCCAGATTTAATTCTTTTAAGCTGTACTTTAAGACCGCTTTAACCTATTTCTATCCAGCTTTTCCCTCAATTAGCCTAATCATTTCTTTATCAAGTAGCATGTTGCCAAATAAAACACCTATAGCCCCTAAAAATAAAATGAAAAAAATCTGGCCCTTGCTGCTTGACTCACAATAGCAGTAAGGTGAGTTATATAAGAGGCTGGTTGTATTTCTGGATCCTGAAATCCCCAGGGGGCTGGAAATAGCAATTGTATTTTGGGAACCATTTTCAGAAACACTGACTGAATATACGTACTTGTTATTGTGAAATCGGGCAGATGCTAGCTTTCAGATACCTAGGTTTTGCATGCACAATACCGCTGTCACCAAAACCTGGCATGTGGCAACCGAAGCATACATATACATATATATATATGTATAAGTGTGTGTATATACAACATTTGTTGTGACTAGTAGACAGATACCTCCTATTAGATGTTGATTCTTTGTCTTCAAAGACAGAGAAAATTAATATCAGGTATTTCCTGATCCTATATTTAGGTAGGAAGAATCCTCATTATTTTCTCTATGCAAATATTAGAAGCAGTTAGCATGTTTTATTTGAGAAATAGTTGCATTTCACAGGAAGGCAAACTCATTCTCACATGCATCATACCTAATTTGCATAGTAAGTAAAAGGTTTTCGGAGAACTAGAATGAAGGTGGAAGAAAAGAACCAAGCAAATGGGAGTTAGTAATATCTGCTGAATTACCAGAACTGTTAGTGGAATTAATTTTAGTACTGTCAGAACAATGCCCCAAGTTAAGAGAAATTGAAGAAAATCCTCTTAAATTAAATAGCACACAAAGGAATAAGCTTGCAGTACACTTAAATGTAAATTGCAATAGAAAGTTACTTGTTAAATGTGTAAATATAGCTCGTAAAACAGAAGGACCTTTTAGACAAATGCCTGGTAAGTGGTTTGCTTTTGCTCTGTGCTCTGAAGTTCTCTGAAGGGCTGAATTTTCATTCAAATCCTGACACAACTCAAGTGACACGGGGCAGCTGAGACTCCAGCAGTGAAGTTAAAGTTAAAATACCTTGTAAAAGCACAGCACATTGGCATCAAACAGTTTTATCAGTGTAAAAAATTGTGTAACATGGACCCCCCCAACTCACTTCTATTGTCAAGGTCCACACATGCACAATTTAAGCCACAGTAGTGGCTG